GTTATAACAGCTTGAAAATGCAGAGATACCGTCCAAACTTGCTGAACAAATTCATTAAATAAGTGCAATAAAAATAACCTACACGTTTAAGATCAGTGACTTTTTCTCTTGAAATGATAGCGATAAAATTGCTAGGATTTAAATACTTTATCTGCTTATCCAGTACTTGGGAACAGCGTAATCTATATAAATTCCTCTTTTGGGGTAGCGGAGCTCCAGGCAATTGCTTGAAATGAGATCAATTCCTGCATACAGGGATGCTGGCTGCTCCCAAGTCGTCTCTGCAGTTTAGACGGATGAAAACAACTTGGTTGTCATTCAGGCACAGTACGGAGAAAGAGATCATACAGAAAAAAGCCCATGAGAGAGGGACCACAGTCTGTTCTTCAGTAACGATGTACGTGCACCGCTGATTTAAGTTTTCCAGTCCAACAGTTTGGCGAACTTCTTTCCGTTAGCCAGACCTGCACCTCTGCAACATTTGTGCTCTGGAATATTTTGCTCAAGACTTCATGGCATAGGAACAAACTTAACTGTGTTTTTCACACCAGTGTTTATTTTGCTACTGCAGAAAATACAGGTTGTTCATTACGTGAAAGGAAGCAGCCCAGTGAAATCAACCTTTAAAAATTACATTGGTGGTACTACTATGCTCAAAGAAGTTTCTCTCACATCCGAAAAACATTTCCATTTTCTCACTTTTAAAGTTCTTTCCAATTCATACCATTGAGTAGTTAGTATTACCTCACTTCAGAGGTGCATTTTTTTAGGCTAAAGATAGCCAGTGGTCTCAGTGAATGTCATGCACTCTAAAATATTTAAATTATTTCTTTAAAATGTTGCTAAAGAGCTATTCTGGATTTGAAAAAAAAAATTACAAAGCCCTAAGATGCAACATGCATTTTTCTTTTAAAAGCTGTTTGACAAAAGGCTCTGTAAATGCACTTCTCCTGCGCATACCTAATTCCTGCTCCTTAGGTAAGGACAGAGAAAAGGCAGGAATCTCCTACATGACAACTCCTTGCAGTGAAAAAGCTGCAGAGAGTTATTGCACGGCTCCCTAAGGCGTAATTACCGTGCTCTATGACGGAGCAAAGAGAAAAGCAGTTACTGGGCTTGCTCCAGAGCCCCTACAACTGCATGGGGGGACAGGCAGCCTGAGCACAGAGCAGCAGGGAAGCGTCCTCGTACGCAAACGGGAGAAACAAGTGCTAGCCAAGGGAAAACGCCTCCAAAGAGGGGGTCTGTAAAAGTGCCTGACATCGCTCCCAACTTTTCTGCTCTTCAGATCAGTCAGCACTCGGAAATGTGAGCCTTGCTATAATTAATAGTGTTTGTGAGGGTCTTGGTTTGGGGATTTTTTTTTGTTGTTTTCATTTGGTTGTTTGGGTTTTTTTTTAAAATAAAGTGTTAATTTCATATTTTTTTAAAAAAAATGTTTAAAAAGGCTGTCCCATAATGTTATAAAGTAGCACACATCCTGCTACATGCAGGATTTAACTGATTATTTTAATTATGCTTTGCTTGACTGGGTTTAAAAGCCATGGTTGAAGAGCAATGGAGAGATATATTTACCAATTCAATATACACACTATATTGGCCAATCCAAAATACATGGAGGAACTTTGCAAATGTTTTTTCCATTAAACTTGCCCAACAGAAAGCTCACAGTTTTATGTCCAAAAGGAAAAAGTGCTCTGGGCAACAGCTCATGAGCCATCAGTCTCTCTCTCTCAGTGCTCTCTCTGAGCAAAATCAATGGTTATTTTGCTTGCATAGGGAATCAGGTTCTCAAAGAGGAACCTGTGTCACTAAAGTAGAAATAAAAATAGTTTCTTTGGATATATATATTTTCCTAACATATGTATATTTATTGAGAGATATATATTTGGAAGAGTTAAAGAAACAATTTATATAAAGACTTTCAAAATACATGCGCACGATCTACCTCTGAAATTCATAAGCTTGTAGATAGGCTGCACGCAAACTATAAAAACTGCATATTACAAAATCAGCGCTCTATATACAAAACAATACCACAAATTCACTCACGCAAAAAACCCCAATCCCCAAAACTTCTACTTATATTACCACGATCACTCATTCTTGTACTTGTGGTGGACATAGCCGTGGGACCAATTAATTCTATCCTGGAAAGCAACTGCCTAAGTGTTATGAGGAGAAATGTTAGGATTGTTGCTTTAGGTACAAAGCTTCATACATTGTGTCTTAATAGAATTTGTTCTCTGTGGTGAATGATTTCATGGACCCTGATGTGCTTCACCTGAATCAGCATCAGAATCCTTTATTGCTTCTTAACTCTACCTTATATGCACTACAAGAAACAGCAGAAGGGTCCAATCAGAGGGCACATTTACATAACCACCTCTTTGGTTCTCCTGTTACACTGCTCAATACTCTCAGTTAGTTTATCACATTCCTGTAGATTTCTTGTGCGAACAGCAGGAGGAAGAACAAAATGCACTGGTCTTTGATGTTTGCAGGACGCCGCTTTATCTATCGCCTGTACCATTTCCCACAGTTCTCTTTCAGTCTATTAAATGGTCACATGCAGTAGTCTATGGATGTTTATTTTAATCAAGACCTAAGGAGAGAAACTCAGTATTAGAGCTGGATTTAGAAGCGAGCTGAGAGAAAGTACACTAAAGCAAGAAAAAATGTCTAAATTTATTAATTCAAGCTTTTCAGGGCTCCACTAAGATTTTTTTCTTTTTTTAAGGGGCCATTTCTTGGGGATATATTTCAGAATTAACTGTGAGATTTTAAAGCATAACTTTAATTTTTATAGTAGTTCCATCAATACACACTCTTATTACCTACCAGATGGGACTCTTGCGGTTTAGCTTAATCCTCCTGTCAAGTGAACTCATAAGGCACTTAGTGCACAGTAAGAAAGGCAGCGTGGAACGGCTATTTCATGCTACTTCCTTTGTAATGGCATGTCATATGGCAATATCCAACTAGCCCTGTAGCTTTTTTATGTGGTGCTAACTCTTGGTGTTGAGTAGCACTTTGGGTACTGCTCTACCACCTTTAAAACTCTAAACCTGAAATATATGTAAAGGCCAGGCTCTCACGGCAAAACCACTTCTCGCCATGCAGCGCTTGTGTTACTCCTAGCACCTCTGCAGACCCAAGGAAGAGACATCTATTTTACTTGACATTATCAACATGCTTGAACTCATAAAATTACAGACACCTGTATTAGAAAGGAGAGCAAACTTATCTGTCAAAATAATGTTTCTAAGCGCTTTAAAAATGAGTGGAAACATTTTATAATGGCCTTGATCTAATTCCTTTCCTTGCAGGGTCAACTAGAGCTTTCAGCTGACTTACGCGGTGTTCAAGGATACCTGTCAGTTTTAGAAAAAAATACAGTTCCCATTTCCAATGAAGAAACCAAGAGTTTAGAGCCTAGCAGAAATAAATGGACTTGTAAGCTTTCACAATAGCTATAAATTTGCCCCATTTTAGCTGACAAAGTTTATCATGACAAATACACGGAAGAAAAAGGCAGTTGTTTTAAACACACTAATAGTGTCTTTCTGACTATCAAAATACAGTAGATCCTGGCACAGTGGCTAAACTAATCACCAAAGAACAGCATGATTCTTTGACTGACTGCATTAAACTTGAGGAGTGGACACCTCAAAAAGCTTTCCAATTCCTGGCCCTACTTGTAAACATACCCTAACTGAAGCAAATAAATCGACACAATAGGATTTGCAGTGGAAAAAACAAACCCCATAGCTTTCCTTGTCTACATTGCAATTTCTCCTTTTTCTTTTTTCCTTCTAGCAAACACATGAGGAAGAATTTCGCTTTATGGAATTGTTATTTTCCCCATTAATTGGTTCAAGAGTTTGTCTATACAGAATCATACAGGTCTTTCAGATAACTGAGATACACATTTCATATAGTTTGACATGTATTTCTTTCTACATGTGCATGCATTTTTCATTTCACCTTATGCTAGCTGCATGTCATAGTTGATGAACGATGGCATTGCTAAGATACCAACATCGTCATCACATCAAAGGAACCTGTGTGACTGCAACAAGCCTGTTTTGCTCATTGTATATTCGTATTTTCAATGGTGTTTCCTCAAGTCTAATTATGATGAATTCTCTGTAAATGCACAGATGTAATGCAGAAATACACACAGGCAGCCTATCTCCTAGCCAACCAGAACACACAGTTTAAATTGTGACCTATTTGTCTACCACAAGTGTCTGATGGTAAGACAAAGAAAAAAATTATTGACACTATTACTTTCAGCGTGTTATAAAGCTGATTTTGGCACAAAACTATTAGCAATATATTCTGCAATTATTACATTGAAGTGATCAGATGGTAAAGTCAGCTAATACGGGTATTATTTACCAAGCTTTCAGAATTGCAAACAAGTGTTATACTTAGATCAAAAGACCAAATGCTTTTCAGCTCTGTCCTGAAAGTCTAGTGCAATTTCTGCTTGATAGGTTTCTTGCTCTTCCCCAAAAGCAAGCCAAAACACAAATGACTGTGGCTTTTGGATCTTAAGGAAATTCCTTTCTGGATCTCAAGACCAGACTGTTAGAACCACAGCGCAAATAATCCCAGAACCAGGGCACAACCTCTGTGCTGATTGTGACAGCGCGGCCATGTTAACTCCATACTCATTGGGGAAGTTTTTTGTTTTAATACGAGGAACCAGTCAGAGACCAACACATGGCCTTCCTTGTGCCACACAGGGAATGCGGAAGGCTAGAACTGCCCCAGAACATTTGCACATTTCTAATGTGAGCATTTCTAGCAGAAAACCACAGTGCTGCACAGACAGATAACACAAAAGTTACGTACTGCAGTTATCAGATTAGGCTGATAAACAGCCCCATGTAGCCAAATGAAAAAGATGATATGAGTGGCCCACAATTTTAAAATAACTATTAACAACTATATGCCTAGTTATTAAGAGAAAGGAAAAAATACTTGTCCTGTCATCGCTTTGAGTATGTTTTGCCAGTGCTTTTATTTGGGCCCCATCTTGGGGTTGCGATCTTGCTTCCTACAGAGGAAGGTTGAGCTTTTGCTCCTGAAGGACCTGATTTCCTTAAATACTGGCCACCTATTTTGCCTGTGAAGACAAAATACAGATCGTTATTGCAAGCACATCTAGTCCCAGTCTTGAATTTTATCTACCATTTTGATGCTCAAGATATATTAAGCCTGAATGACTGATACTAGCAACTAGAAGCTGGCAGACATCCAGTCTGAGGTGTGTCTCATATCAGGAGTGGTAGGACTAAATGGTCAGGGTCCCTCTTCTATCTAGGAAATTGCTCTGGAGCTCTAGCTGTATCCAAGCAGGATTTAAGTTCCTTCTACGTTTCGAAATTCTAAGCAGCAGCAAATTAACTAGCATTCTTATTAGCAAGTAGAAACAACAAAGCTGAAGACAGATATGATTGTAGGTCCAGTTCAAGACTGGAAACTGTTGAGTTTAACCACATTCACTTATGACAGCTGAAAGGGACAGTTCAACAGTTCTTTCCAGAAACTTGGAGTAGTTGTGAAACACAGATATGAGCAAAGCAAGTATCAGACAGAGGAGGTTAACTCTAGCAGCAACCTGAACATGCAGCAGACTAAAGAACTCTGAACAAAGTCTGAAGGAGGAAAGGTTTTGGATGTTACTTGCGAAAAGAGTTTTGGTGCTGCAGGCAGCTGTGCTGGGTTTGACTAGGATAGAGTTAATTTTCTTCAAGGTAGCTAGTATGGGCTGTGATTTGGATTTGTGCTGGAAACAGTGTTTGTAACACAGGGACGTTTTTGTTATTGCTGAGCAGGGCTTACACACAGTCAAGGCCTTTTCTGCCTCTCACCCCACCCCAGCAGAGAGTGGTCTTAGGATGCACAAGGAGTTGGGAGGGGACACAGCCAGGACAGCTGACCCCAGTGACCCAAGGGATATCCCATACCGTATGACGTCATGCTCAGCATATAGAGCTGGAGGAAGAAGAAGGAAGGGGGGGACCTTCAGAGTTGTGTTCCCAAGTCACCGTTCTGTGTGATGGAGCCCTGCTTTCCTGGAGATGGCTGAACACCTGCCTGCTCGCCCATACGAAGTGGGGAATGAATTCCTTGGTTTGTTTTGCTCGCATGCACGGCTTTTTTTTCCCCTGTTAAACTGTCTTTATCTCAACCCACGAGTTTTCCCACTTTTACCCTTCTGATTCTCTCCACCATTCCACAGAGGGGGGAGTGAGTGAGCAGCTGGGTGGGGCTTAGTTGCTGGGGTTAAACCACGAAAATAGCTTGTTTGTTTAACTTCTGTGTTCAGAAAATAAAAGGATTGTGCATGTGCTTCATAAATAAAGATGACTGTTAAAAAAACCACAACAAACCACCTGACATCAGAATCAATTTCTTTTTGTTGGTGAAGAAGCTGCACAATCATAAATTCTGCCTAGCTCCTGGGTCTGAACTGAAAAGGAAAACCAGTACACAGCACTAACTATTCAATTCATCTTGTAGTTAGGATTAGACTAGCATCCTCTGATTGGACATTAAAAGCTAAATCAGGCTTTTGGTTCTCTGTGGCAACATTCAGGAGCTCTTCAGAACGTCAGCCGTTTAGTATCACCACTGATTGTTCTATTCATGGTCATAATATTACGTAGAAAAAACCCCTGAACTGATCAAATTATCAAATATGCCAGTATCCCCAATCAACTTAGCTAATGCCCTCGTTTTGAAATTATTGTTATTGAATGATTTTAAGAATTTGCTCCCTAAGTACACTGTAGTCTATACCACCCTAAGAAATATCAATTAGGTTACACGAATGCAAAAAACGTGTTGAGCAAGTCGTTAAGAGCCAGCTTGCTCTCGAGGATGAAATACTTTTCTTAAGTAAAGGCAACATAGTAAAAAGCGTAATCATTATTACTATAAAATAGTATCTTACCAGGCTGCACCAGAAGAGTTTTATTTATTGTGTGTAACCTCCGTTGATTCATTTTACAGCTATCTTTGCCCATTAGGTGAAATTTCCAGGCCTAAAGTCAATTAAAAAGGAGTAATATTACAATACCAGCAAAATTAGCCAATGTTTTACCTAGTCACTATGTATGCACATATACTTTTTAAAACATGGGGAAAATGAGAGCTGTATACAGACTTTATGGCAATAGCATTTTAATCTGCTCACTCATAAAAGCATGAGCACCTCATGACTTACTAAGTGAAACAGAAATTAGTAGATCCATTTTTTTAATATAATTTAAAAGGCAGATCACAATAAAAAACCCCAGCCAGATCCTAGAAATTAAGAGCGAGTGATATTTGTTTTGTGTTTTAAAATTTCCTAATTAACAACTGAGTTCACATGAGGAAAAAAACAATGTACAAATAACACGGAAAGTCTTTTAATCTATATATATTTTAAACTGAAAAAATGTGGGCATAACTACAAGGCTATGATAACAGTTAAAGCATTCATCAACCGGAAGGAGTAGCAGCTATTATTACAAAAAACCATGACAGCCTCCTCAAACTAGAGGCTATGTGAAGTCTGTTACTTACAAGAATAATTTCGGCAGAAGCAAGGAAAAAACCAAAACAACCTAACATATCCAAACAAATGTTTTTTGGTTACAATATTTTCTGAGCTCCTCACACTGGGCAAAGCAAAAAGGATTTAGAAAAAACTTGGTTTTGAGAACAGAAGCACTACTCAACAGTGCCATTAAAAGGAAGAAAATTACATAGATTACATATCAGCCATTGACATTTAACTGTGTCTAATACTCTATACTGAGTTGCTCGCTGCCTCCTAGATAGTCTTTTTCTGAAAACTCAATCATACACAGAACTAGTTAAATATGATCGTAATGTAGTGTTAGAGGATTCATGTAAAAGACTGAAACAGATATGTTAAGTATTTTCTGAACAAATCACTTTTTATACAATACCAATACATATTTTCAATTGCTGAAAGCACATTTTGGAGCTGGCATGTCAGAGATTTCATAGCATTAGGCAGTTACAGGGAACAGCATGTAGAAACTAGAGAGAGGCCATCTCAACGCTCTTGACAATTATAGTAGTTCTTGCTTACTTTCTTCACGTCAATTTTTTTTCTTATACCCAAATCAACAATACCTTAATCCTGAATGCCTTGTTGGATGTGCTCGGTCCTGCTGCAGGATTTTAAGTTGCATAATGTCACTTCAAACACTAGGGCTAACAAGTGAACTCACAGAATCTGGTAGTACTTGGGAATTTGGAAAGCTATAAGGTGTATAGCTGCCTATGCAGGAGGAGAAAGACCGACACTGAATAGCCTGTAGCCCTGTGGTTCCCATATACACCTTTAAAGGTAGAAAACTTAGGTTCAAGTATGGTTCCCAGACTGTGAGATAGCCATTATAGACCCTGGCAATAATCCAGGCAAGTTCTTAAGTTGCTGGGTATAAGCCAGTGTTAGAAGAGGACACGAATTCAGTCCCAGTGACATAACAACATCAGACTAGTCTGGAAGGCAGTCTTACCTCCTCTCCTGGGGAAAAGTTGTCATGGCACAACGGGCAATGGTTTGCCACATTTTCTGGTTTGGCAGCTGAAATGATTAGAAAAACAGTGTAAGAATTGCAAAGACAGGCTAATTTCAAATACAAGAAGAGAACTTGCACAACAAAGAGCACAAAACTACCCCATGGCTAAACCAGCTCCTACCCTATTATCATTAACTGCTCTCAAGGAAGTCCCACGTTTCACCGTCTACATCAAAACAAAATCTAAAGGAACGATAGGGCTTAATCAACAAGGATGTGGCAGAGGCTTTCTGTTCTCCTTACTCATCCTTCCCACATACATTCATAGAAGTGAAGCATTTCAAGCACTGAGAAAACTCAGGAGTTTATTCCAAGTCTTCCCTCCTGAGGATTTACTTGTATTTCTAAATCCACAGTAGAGTACCTAAATCAAAGTGGTCTGACTTGCCAAAGAATCACAGTATTTGAAAGTCTGACTGACTTGACCTTTAAAGTTCAAACTTCCTGTTCAAAACTACTCACAATTGCAAGTCTTGCTCTTAATATGTTTGGGCAACTCATCTTTTGGAAGGGCCTCGCTGCATCGTTGACATTTCCCAAAGCTGTCCTTTTTATCACAATCAGTCAACAAGTGCTCTGTCAGGCTTGCTATTTCCACCACCTGCAACAGAGCAAGAGGCACCCAAGAAGATTTGTACTGTACGGAGTAAATAAGGATAGTATTAAAAAAACTGCTTATGTGATTTTTGGAAGTTAAATCTCACTTTCCAAAATGACAAAGGGAAAATGAAATTTTAGTCCAGTTATTAATACAATCTATAATGCTGCTCTTTTTGAAAAGCACTACCCAAGATCACATAGTTGTGTTCAGAATTCATCTAGCTTAGCGTTAAATATCTTATAGCACCTTAAAACTGAAATAACAACAGTTAATGCCTTGTAGTAGCTCTAGAAAGTTTATGCCTAACCTGTTTACAGTGCTCACATGTAGTTAACATAGGGCAGTGTTGCCAGTAATGGAGATCCAGTCCTTCCTCTGTGAAGGATTTGTCCCGTTCACCACAAAAAATACATAAGCTAGGAAAAAAAAATACAAACATTAGTAACATCACAGAGTGAAATGGATGAACTCTGTTTCTTCTGTTAGAAACTATTCTGACAAATGGCTGACATCTTGGTACACCTTATTTTCCCTATATAGTGCTGACCTTAAGATAGGGCATGAAGAGATACTATTATACAATTTATGGTAAATACAACCGTAAAGCATTTGTTTATATAGAAAGACATAATTCCACAAAAGCAGTGAGAACAGCTTTTTGAAACTGGCTTTCATGGCTCCAGAATTTTCAAATGCTTTCTCTATGCCCTTATCCTACAATACACGTGAAAGCCACGAGGTATCCTCATCTTATTTCATACTGGCTCTTGAACATTAAACTCTTGCAATTTCTTATTCCACAAGCAACTACTCAGAAAAAAAGTTCAAGGTCACACTATCCAAGAACTTAAAAAATCAACATCCAGGATTGCCTGGTGATAATTCCAAATCTGTTAGAAGAGATTTTCTTTTTCATTGTTTCAATGCTGAAGGTATTAGCTTTGCTCTACTGGAAAAATATTACTAATGTTATTAGCTTGCAGGTTATACCAAGTACTCAAGGTGGTTGGAAGCTGCTCATCTAACTTACTTATCCAAGTAATCTGCAATAGAGGAATGATCATCTGGAATCTCTTCTGCTGCTGCAGGCTGTGGGCTTTCGTTTACCTGGTAACCTGTAAAAAGAGAACTATTAAAACCAAAATGGCATTTTAATTCATTTTTGTGCATGCCTAGAAATACTGCTTCTCCAGATCTTAACAGCAAAAAAAAAAAAAAAGCAAAACAAAAACCTAACAGAAGCATACCACTGCCATATTGGTAAACAAGCACTGAAAGACAACCTACCTATAAGGCAGTTGGGAAACTATTGGTTTAGTGATCTACAACAGTAAAACATTTTAGTGATTTTTTTTTTTTTTTTTTTTTAAACACATGTAGTAGATGATCTGCCTCAGGCTGGGGAGAAATCTAAAATGGATTCAAGCCAAGCCATGCTATTTCTCATTAGAAATTAACTGGTCAGTTGATGGTAAATTTTCTTTCATGAACTTAATGGTTACCCGTATGGCAGGTTAAGACTCAGACAATCTGAAGCACTCTGGCATGTTTTTAACTGAGATAAGTCAATAATCTATTAAGCATCTAGAGAGTTTCAAAGACATCTTGAAATATCTCTACATTTCTTAATACTATACCTTGATTCTTTGGCTTCTGAAAATCAGATTCTTTCTCCTATTGAACAAAGAAATTTAAGTCAGAAATCTGCTTAATGACTGCGATGCTTGCGAGGGAGAAAGAGAACAGATTATATTCTGATTTTTCTTTGGAATCAAAAGCTTAGGAGCAGAGCCAATGAATTACAATGTTTGTGCTTCTGGTCCTCCAGCAAATCTCTCAGGTATTGAGGCAGCAATCTTCTGCGGATGGAAAACTAGTCCTACTTCCTGGCATTAGGGTAGCTGACTACCTTTCTAAGGTTCAGAAATAAAACTTAATGGATGTGCAGTACAGCATGCTTCTGGAGGGCCTTGATGCACTCAGTACAATTCCTATACTCTAGCTGGTACAGAACATTTAGACTTGTAGAAACACTCACATTTACCATACGATAGACAAAACTGTTACAAAAAAGAATCCAAATTTTATAAAATTTTATACTATGTTAGGAAATGCAACCCCCCAGGTTTTAAGCTCGACTGCTGAGGAGGAAAGTCAGTTAGTATACGTCATGGAGTCTCTGTTGCTATTTGGTGGGGTTTTTTTTGTTGTTGTTCATAATGAGATAACAGTACTGTTAATTATCTAAGCCTGTGATACCTGAGGAAAAAAGGATTTTAGAAAAAAAGAAAAAAAGAAAAAATCAAAACTCAAACACCCCTAACCTTTCCAGCTTGAAATTCTGCTTGCATCTCCTCTAAAGCTGCCCGCTGACCTTGCAAAACTTTTATGTCTTCCTTCTTCTGTTTCTCTGCTTCTTCTGTTGCTGCCTTTCTCTGTGCCTGTCAAGAAATACTCTTTCAGTTACAAAAGTTTTTGAACTATCGATCATATAGAAGAGATTGCAAAACACATCAGCATAGAACCAATGGTCAATGGAGTACAAGAAACATCCTGCTCAGTTAAATGATTGGTCTGTTACAGTAACAACTCCCTCCCCCCAAATTCCTCTGTACCACCTGAAAGAAACACATAGCATTTCCTCTGTGCTTACTGTTTTCCAAGGTTAGCCAGCATAAAATAGTATATGTGTATTTTCCAAAATGATTGTGCATTATTTCAGAAGTACCATCTCTGTATTCTTAGTAGGCTTTCTTTGTAAGAGTACATGTAATAAACTGAACACCAGCTTTTTACACTAAGTAATGTTAATAACACACCCTAAGATACTCTGCTGCATGTGTCATTCAATGTCTAATATAGATATGAAATCAGTATATTGCTTAGTTGAATGCAATGTTTAAAGTAGCTACATATATTCTACAATCTTATTACGTACCCTAATTTCAGCTTCAGAAAGTTTACCATCTATTTTAGTAAATCCATCAAAGAGTGTTTTATAGAGAACAGTCTTGCGAATGCTTGCATCATCTGGAGGAAGATATTCCAGTATAGCAGCCTTGTGCTTCCTGTACATATCAAAGATAATCCGCAACGCTACATCACGAACTTCACTAACTCTGTGTTCCAAAGCTCCAGTTGCAAACTGAAAATAATAATTAAAAAAATTTATGCCTCTCTTTTCCCACATGTTTTTTAAGGACTTGTTTATTAGTCTAAGACAATTATTTCACTGCAGTGGGAGAAATCTTCATACAGACAAGTTTTTGCAAACACTTTTTGAGCCACTGATTCTTTTTTCCCCTTGTATTGGCATCTTGCTTCCTCGCAAAGTTGTGTGTTGTCACTTCCAAGAGCCTCAAACTCCCTTCAGTAATTCACCACTACTCCAAAACAGATAGACAAGCCCCAATAAAACAGCAGCAGAAAAAACCTGATGTGCTGTAAACTGACTCCTACCTTCATGACATTGCTGATGGTAAACCCAGAGTTTTCCATGCCCGTGTCTTTCAAGAGGCATTCCACTAATTCCACTTGACTCCTTGCCAGATGTGTTGGGGAGTTTGGTTTTAATGGTTGAACCAAATGAACTGGAACAATCTGAAGAGGTTTAACTTCACTACACAGTGCCATTTCCTATAAATGTACAGAGAGTCAGTGTGCATATAGGAATGTTAAATGAGGAAAATTAACTGACTTTGGAAAGCAGAGTTATTCTAAATTACCTACAACAAGTTAAGTAAAATTAAATAAGCCCTCCATAAGAAGTCGCTGCTTATTTGTTACTTTAGTAGCCAGAAGTAGCTTCCAAAGGCTTTAAAGAAAGATTATACAGGTGTTTGGTCTTGCTTTTGGCATCAGAGAGAAAGCTACTGAGAAATCGATAAAATCTTAGACATGCTCAAATGAGTAACAGAACTGGACTGTAAGAAACATTTCAAGAAATCGATCTTACACTGAACTATATGAGGAGTTAGGTGAGAAGTGTCACAAAGGATACAAAGCCTTGATACTGCATCAAGATGGATTTCAACAGTGCTTCAAAAGACATATGCCATGTTATCCCTTCTCATTCTATTTTGCAAAGAACCTTAAGGGCTAAATTCTGCTGTTACTCAAAGCTCAATGTTTATTTTCCTTGCGGGTAGCAGAATGTTTAATAACAAAGCATTCCTCCTCCCAGTTCCTGTCAGCTGACGGACACTCAAGCAGAGGATGGTGTCCTGCAGTCCCTCCTCCTGAGGGCCAGATGCAGTTGTCACCAGGTTAGCTGGTCTGTTTTGGACATACTTATTTCTAGAAATATGTGGCACCTTCCCTAGAGAGGTACTTATTCAGGCACGGTATCATCTATTAGCAGCGATACAAAAGAAACACATTTTCCTTCTCTGCAGGCCATATCCTGTCTACAAAAATACATTTGTAACCATTTTCTCATTTCCTTTCTTAGTCAATTACAAAATCCATTATAAACAAGGCAAGCAGTAGTAAAAGTAACCTGTCACCTTTGGGGTTCCAGTAACACACCAGGCCACTTCACACAATAATGCTGTTAAAATTTTAGTTACACCTACAATGAAAGAAAAATCTCCTTCCATGTGTGGATGCGAGCAAGGATAAATAACCTAGAGCCAGTGACTCACTCTGCTCCTGGGACTGAATTAACATATTTTCACACAGAACTACTGTTCTTTCTTCTAAATTCTACTGGAAAAGAGAGCCTGTAGTCCTCTAGCAGCTATTCACAGCTGCTATTTGTCAGCATTGAGCAAGGAATGGACTGTGTATTTTAAAATGGGCATCTTTTTTATGCTTTTGCTAAGCTGACTTTCAAAAGTTGACTGTCAAAAATGCAATCAAATTGCAGCACGGTCTGAACAGTATGTTGTACTTTCTTGCTCTCGTTTCTGTAGATCACTTGCAACAAAGAAGAATGCAAGAGTCACACCCTTCTTGCATTTGCAGCAGCTGGGATCTCCCCTCACTGTCACCCACAACAAAGGTGACAAATACATGGCTAGAAAAAACACTGCAAAGATACTAAGTTGGTTCTTCCACTTTGCCTTCCATATAAGGTGTAATCCTTTACAGCAGCAAACTGTGGTCTCAAAGTCAAGTCTGATTAGATGTTATCCACCTGTAAGCTCTGTAATGTTCTTAATGCAAATAAGAACACAACTGTAATTTGAAGAAAAACACCTACCTGAATAAAGTTAAAAGCCACAAGGCGAAGACGGGATGAAGAGTCTCCTGTTCTAGAAAGCAAATTTGGAAGTGTTTTTTCCACACAATAAGAAGTTTCTACTTTTCCTAGTTTATGTTTTGGTATATATTGAGTAATGATCATTTTCAAAAGTTTCAGAGAAGCTTGAAAAACCTAAGTTAAAAAGAAAAAGGAAACACTGCACAAAAATACCACACAGATCCCTGTTTTCAGACAATACTGTAAAATCTTTTCTGTAGTTCTAAAGAACAGCAGCAATAGGAATCTAGAATTATAGTAACACCCTTAATGGAAGCTACTTCAGATATCTCTTTTCCAGAAAATGTGTTGCTAAGGCTTAGGTGAAAGGCTTCAGGATTTGTTTTGTAAAGAGTAATACAGTTTTTATTTTTTTTCCTTTTCTTCTTGTTTAAGGCATATTTGAAGCCGAAGTCTCTTTAGGCTAACTGTAGTCTCTCAAGTTGGAAAGTAAAAGTTACTCCATTGCTGTATTTCATCTTTACAAAAAAAAAAAAAAGGCAAAAAAAAAGCTCAACTGCACTATGCATTTACTGCGTCAGCAGTTGTTTCTTAAGCTCATTACTCACATTATTTTCCATGCTGCTGAATGCCAGACATTGCCCAGTCCTTGATCCTAGCTAAAAGCTGACATTCCAGTTGTTTTGGGGTTCTGGTTTTTTGTTTCAGTTTTTGTTGTTGTTGTTTTTAAACTTACTCAACAGTAATTTTACAAACTATTTGTTTGAAGTATCTTAACCACATGGTTCTACAATTTTGGCTGCTAGTTCTTCACTGGAGTATTTCTTATCAAACATATCACAACTTACTGAAGACACTATGTCTTTGATGGCTTTCCTTACAAGAAAAATGGCAGCCCTCAGCATGTTCTTTAAATCATCCTTTGGAGCGTTTACTGACATTTCCATCAGCTTCTTATACACAGCTAGTAACGCATCTTCTCGATATGACCAAGTTTTGGAATACGCTCCTGAAACCTGAACACAGAATGAGTTTCTCTCTTAAAAGGTCAATACTGATATTTCAATATTTATTCAACATTTACATACAGAAACAGCCTCAAAGGAACATATGAACTTAAGCATGAAATCCCCAGGTGTTTCCTGCAGGAATCTGGCTTTTATTAAAAGCACATATTTTTGAAAAATAATGAGTAAAATGGATTAACAGGTCAGGCTCAAGGAACCATTTCAGGCACAGTAATGGTTTCTCTCCCTGCAAAAGACGGTCTCAAGTTACGGGTATTCTGGCAGGGTCTGTACCCTACTGCAGTCTACCGGACACTATCTGTTTAATAGCTTATCAAGTAATCAATCATAAAAGCTACAGCGTCATATAAACATTGAAAACGGGCACCCATATATCCAATGTCAAATTTTAATCTCAGATTTTTAAGCAACAGCTCTGAACCTGTAAAAATCATATCAGTAGGTCTTTGTTGACAGAGCGCATATCAAATCAACTCAACACAGATCATAATAATCGATGTGTTTATTTTGTTATTCTTTACCAAAGCTTCTCCAAAGACTTCAGTAGCAGGGCTGGCCTCCCTCAGTGCCTTCTCGGTTAATGGTTCTGGTTCCCCAGTAATGCCACTTCTTGGAGTATCATTGATACCTTCTTCAGTCATCTCTGGCTCAAGGTACGCAATTGCTTCATCAGACTGTTTACAGATAGCTGGAAGAGGTCTCTCATCATAAGGTAAGAACTCAACCTAACAGAAGATAAAATTTTCTATTCTAGAAATGACTTAGACATGAAGTTGTTTCATCACTAATTGGATTCACCTCAATGCATTTTTTTCCCCCCATCAAAGCAGTTACCGCTTTACAATTAAGTACAGATGTTGAAGTTCCCATTATAACATCATGAAGAAATGGAATCAGTGCCTGTGATTATTGTCTATAGAATACAATAAAATACATACAAAATGCCTTTTGTGGAAATGCATGCATCTACAGAAGAAATCATCTGTTGACAGGAAGCCAGCAAGTCATAAAGCTTTATTTATTAAATTATTTTAACTCACCATCCCGTTAAGAGAGAATATTAGTGCTACTAGAGTCAATGCAAGTGTTCCTTAGCTTTGCCAAAAACTGGAGCAGCAAAACCTCAAGATCAAGCTAACTAGATACCATGATTTTCTTCCTCTCTTTAGACGTGACACCAAGACTCTTACTCTACAACAACATTCCAAGAAATTCCCTTGCCGCTGGAGATTTATCTAACATGATCTCTAACAAGGAGATTTGTTATGCTATTCATGGAGCAAGAAGAATTCAGCTTCCAATATATTTGCTCTGTGACCCTGATTAGTCATTTAATGTCTATTTGCTTCCCTTCATGTATTTGTAAATCAGGCATAATCCCTTTTTGCCTCAATCTCATTGAACATTTCTAAAAGCTTCCAAAGAAATTCAGGAAAGAGAAAGGCCAACGATTAGATGGGCATGGCGCAGCAATACAGTCAATTTCAGGTACTATATAAGCCATGAGAATAACCACAAAAAGACCTTGTTGTTTTGGAAGGCTGAATACAAGATAATTTGCTCTGATAGATTTCTGTGGTAACAGAGGTACACTACTCACATTTTCTTTGGGAAACACTTCCTCAAAGGTTGTGGGATGAGTCACAGGAGGAGGAGGGGACTGATGGGGTGACTGATGGGGAACAACAGGCTCAGCAGACATGGGATCTGCTGACTTCTTTTCCAGCAAAGGCTCTGCTCTGCATGGCTCTCCTTTTTGCGGTTCTGTGTGCTCACAAGGAGGTGAATTTGTAGCTTTTGTGCGCTGAGGATTGTCAGTATAAATCATAGGCTCCAAAGGCAATGCAGGTGTGTTTTGAATCTGAGAAAGGGAAGGAGATATTGTAAAGCAAGGCTAACAATGTGCAAAACCAGAGTTAGTACAGCTACAGCTCTGATGGTCAGCAAGATTCTGGTGCTTTCAAGTAAATATCAGACCTCAACTCACACACATGTAATCGTTTCCACTGGATGCAGCTTTATGAATCAATCAGGAAATAATTCTGTGTGGATGCGTGTGTGGAGAGATAATAAAGCTTCTTGTTCTGACAACAATATAAAACTTCAGTATCTTGTGACATTAATTCTGTATGGTTAGCCTTGATGCCAGCATAAGCCTGTTCTACTCCTTCAAAATATGAGCAAGTGCCTTATTAATTTGGATTGGGTAGACCTGAAATTATGCAAAACATTCAGGATTCTAATTTCATTTGCTTGAGACCTTAATAGTTTAATGTAACGTAATTTATGGAGCATGTTCATAAAATGCCACGTGCAAGTCTTTGGTTAGGGAAAGCCACAATCCAAATAGAAAATTTAAAATCCTTATGTAATTGTCATAAAATACCTGTATAACAACTCTTATTCTTTGAATTTATTTTGGTTGCTATATCATTTCTATTTACAATACCCACATGATAAAGCCTCCTGAACTAGGAATAACAGTACCCACCATCAGCTCTGCATCCAGAAGGTTGTGGAGCTCCAGTTGCTCATACACCTTCACGCGGTATGCTTCCATTTGCTGTTTCTTCTTTTCAGCAAGATCATAATCCTCTTTCTCTACAGCGCAGCACTTTTCTACCTCATACCGTCCAAGTCGTTCCCCTACCTAGAAGGTGGTATAACAGGCTACCTTGGAATCACGTTACTGTACATATATATACATGTCAGTATTTGCAGCCAAGCTGTTAAATCAAGCTATCTGATTTAAAAATTACTATTTTGAAAATATACCGGAAATCATTATGATTCCACGTGAACGCTGGGGTCCCTGATGGACCACTGGAACACTGTTCGGCTTGAGATAAAGAGTCTTTCAACAATACCTTTTGGAAGTCTGCAATAGCTTGCTTGAGTTTCTTGGCATAATCATAGCATTCATGATGGACAGCTTCACGCTTCTTCTCATCCAGTCTACGTATTATCTGAGCAATTTCTGGATCTTGGTACATGTCAAAAGCCAAATCATCCAGAGGTGAAATGGAATCAGGTTTCCTGAAGATATAAAATGAATAAACTAAACTTTCAGTTAATCCAAAATAAACAAGGCTGAGAGTATGTCTTGCCTTTTCACGAGCAGGGAACTAACAAAATACAGAGACTGAGAACTACTTTAGACTGAGTAGACGTTTTGCCAGGGCATATGCAATATGCAAAAGAACATCCTTACCAAAGGTAAGTTCCATCTAAGGCGGGACCATCTGATTTAATTCCTAAGTAGTGGTCTATCAGCTTATCTCTGGAAGGCTTTGTAAAGGGGGAAAAAAAAATAAATCTTAATGCACATTCATTGACATCAAGCCTGTGTTCAGGACAGAAGTCTGACTTGCCACAATCAACATAAGCTATGCAACTTATGTTTTGGGGCATATTGAAACAAGAGAATTTGGAGAGGCTGAAAATGCAAATGTTCCAATTGATTATGTTTTATTTTTTGTATCTGCATATTAGGCTCAATTTTTGAGAACTTTCTTGTTTCAACATAACATTAAAAAAAAAATAAAATCAATACATGGCAGCTCTGCTACAGCACCGAACTAGCAGAAGAAAGATGCATTCCATTACCCCAAGAACTCTGTAACTGAACATGTGTAGCAACAGTAAAAAGACAGAGAAGCTTTGCACTTACAGTATTATTGCTGTCATTACTGTAGTCTGCTGGATCTCCAATAATGTTTACAGCTACTAGGGCAACCTGGGATAGATGTAAAGAAAATGTAAATGCATAAGGTCATTACTTTTTCCATATCTTCTGAAAACTGAAACAAAAAAAAATAGGACCTGTGGTCTGCAGGGTGGTATGGAAGCAAAGCAAAGCACTAAGTGCTAAATGTACTTCATGCTTCATTAAAAATTTATTACCGAATCTATAGACCACATTGTACAGTCATCAATTCTTCCTTTTTCTGGTCCAGGATGGAAGTGAAAAGAGTCACTGCAGAATTGAGGCAGATATTTGCTTTTTCTGTATGAGGATGGCTGTACAACACCTTCCCTTAATGCCACATCAGACCCTAAGGACTAAGAGTGGCTTTGTAGCGAATGCAAAGCTGGTCTCAGAGGAAGTACTCTGTTTTCAGCACAGAGCCTGCTGTGCAGTCTAAAGTCAGAATGAAAGGCAGTAATGGAACGTGTGCTTGACTGACTTGTTCTGGATAAGTTGCATGCACTTGGTCATGATTCCAAGTCACTTATAACCTCTTATTTGTATTTTCTGTTTTAAAATAAACCAAAAATAAATCCAGGAGCTTTCAACCAACATTTTTAGCTTCTACAAAGCAAGGGACCAGATTTCTATGCCTGTTCTGTACTACTGTAATGTCATCTAGCTTACCAAGTAATGACTTTTAACTCAACTTACCTGACCATATAAGTTGTATTTATTGACATAATTTTTATGGAAAATCAGCTTCAGGTACTGGCCAACTGCATCCATATACACAGATTTTAACTCTCGTGCTTTGAAATCACTCTTTTCATTGTCCGAGAGAGGGACATAACTGAGAAGGAAAGTGTTACAAGTAAGCAGAGGAAACACACAAATCCACAGCTGTATTTTGGCTCCTCAGGTTCGTACTTTGATAGGGTTTAAAACCCCCTCATAACTGAAACAATGCGTGCTGTCATCTGACAAGACTGTTCATCTGCGTCCTGCCTCTTACACCTACGTCTTCAGGTTTGTTACAGATCTAAGCAAGTATGGTATTTCTTTACGGCTTGCAGCACAAATGTGTCAATATTGCATGCAAAGCATAATAAATATTATTTCCTCTTAAAGCCTTTCTGATTAAGGTAATAAAACCATTTAGAGCTTTTTGACTTACCCTAATCTGTGAAACCTCTCTGACTGATAAGGAGCAAAGTATTCAGGCAAGCTTTCACTGATGTAGAACTCAATTTTGCTTGAAATCATGTACTGGTGAGCAAGCAACTGCAATTTTCGTATTCGACACCTCTCCACCAACTGCAGAACAATTTCCTGTGGATACTGACAGAGTCTGAAAACATACACAATTTCTGAATCACCTTTTTAAAGATGACTTCATTTCCAACTTGAGTAACATTTAATTATGAAACTTCCCAAAGTAGTTATACTTTAAGTCAGCATTACAAATATTGTAGAAAGAAACCAAAGAGTAGAGTAGAAACACTTTTCACTTTATTGCATGGATGTGTATGGTAAAGCGCCCACACATATCTAGAAGATGTGCTGAGAAGACCAGATTTTTAATACTAAGTCAAAGCAGTTGCAAACTCCTAAGACTGACAAGAACAAAAATAGTCCCCTTTTTTCTTTTAAAGGACTTTATTTAAATGCAATGCAATGCCTTTAGGTGGTAACCGAGGCGCTTTGTTTTCCCAGAATAAGGATTCCATTGGATTAAAGTAACTTTTTTGGTTTTATAATCAGTTTGGTCTGGGATGTTATAAACTACTCTGATCATGCATGGTACATCTCCAACCCATTTTAAACTCCATGCTTCAGAACTATGCACATTCCTCCCGCTTGCAGTACCTGGGTGATCGCCATCCATTCACTGTTGGTGCATGAACCATCAGCTCTTTTGCGCTGAAGCCTTCTTCGTGTCCCGATGAACTAACAACTATAAAACCGATCTTGTGTGGCATCCTGCAGAAGCGAGCTAGTCAAAGCAACGATGTTTCAAGCTTAAGCTAATCCCTGAAAGGACAATAAAAGAACACTGAAACACTACAGTCAAAGAATTAAATCCTGTGGTCCATCAAGACAGTAGGCAATGACTACAGATCTAAATTTTCTTTAATTAATAGTGGCACCAGAAACCATACCATGTTCTTACAGTGAGCATTTTATTAGTACTTAGTGAAACGAGGGTTTAAGCTAACTTGTATAGCAGTTTGCCAATAAACTGAATTAAATCTGCTGATCTAAGATGGAGCTTGAAACTATGAGTTCCAAAACATGCACAGGCGCGACCTGTACCATCCTCTGTGTGCTTGAGCCAAAGGAAAAAACCAAACAACAAAGAACAAGGTCAATTGAACACCTTTTCACAGCTACGCACATCCCTAGGCTGCTGACAGGGACGGCATAGGAAGGGAGGCAAGACGGGCAGGACAAGCGTCAAAGACCACTGCTACCCCCTCCCCCCGGTGCCGTAGTGGTATTATGGCATTGATTTCGGCCTCATCCCCACAGCC